CTTCAATTCCCAGAATTCCCCAGAATGGCTGGCTGGGGAATTCTGGGAGTTGAAGTCCACATGTCTTAAAGTCACCAAGGCTGAGAAACACTGAGTTAAACTAAAAGCTAGCATGCTACAAGCCAAAGTGCTCAATTCCACCATCAACTTTATTTAAAAGACATGCTCTCAAAGTCCCAAGTATGCCCATCAGACCCCAGGTTTCCTACACCGGCTTAGTATGCCCCAAGGTCCCACCCACCAGCTTGTTCCTCTTCAGCTGTACTGGGTCCCATCCAATAATGGTCTGGACAGTGACAACAGGTGCAGTGGTCTTGGAAAATGGGCAGCTCCTGGGCCTGAAGGAAGGCTCCCAAGTACTGCAGAAAGGAAGCCCTACAGAACCCAAGAGCCTGTCTGCTTCCACCTGTCATAAAACCTCCTTTTAATAGCAAAAAAACACAAACTAAGCCCTTTAATACTTTCACAGAATCTGCATAACAGGCATGCACGTACCAAATTTAACGCCAGGACTTACTGAGCTTTCTACTGAGAACCTCAGCCTTCTCCATTTGCATTCATTCATTTCATAAATCAAGGGATGATCTCTGCAACCTGACAGACCTAATATTAGAAACCAATATTCTGATCATAGGAGTCAGAGAACTTGGGTCTGTTCAAGAGCTGGAGTATTTCCAAGATGTAAAGCGGCACCAGCCACGTTTTAAGAAACACAGAAAACAAGAAAGCCCTGGTCCTCAAATGTGCAATAGTTGCACAAGGAGTTTCCAAGAGCAGAGGAGACACTTCTTTTTAGCAGTTATACTGAACACAGCAAAGATGATAATGCCAGTAGAACTTAGTGCAACAGGGCTAAGTGGTCAATCCATTTTGTCACACATACCTCATTAACACAAATGTTTTATATATCTCTTTGGAGGCTACATTTAAAACATATGCCTTCTTCTCCAGTAATTACATGGCCCTTAGGAAAATATGAATTTTAAAGTTTTTTAATGATCCGGTACTGACATTCATACACATCATTTCTCCATATATAATTAATGCTTGCAAATGTATCATAGCATTGTATTGCAAATGCTAGGTTTATGATAAAATTGTCTCCTCTACATTTTAAAGGAAGTACCTGTTTGAAGATTTTTATCCAACCTTGGAAATTGTACTTGAATCCCAGATGTCTCCCTTGTAATTATATTGAATGTGATCTGGTCACCGACCAAAACAAAATGATTTGATATGATTAGCTTGAATCCTTCATTGTTTTGTGCATGTTCAGTACTTGCAAATATGTTCCATTCATTAATTAACGTATCATTTTAAAATTAAAGTTACCATAGGGCTTCCTCACTGATTTCCAATGAACTAAAAAAAACCCGCTTGAGATACTCTTTGCTCACTAGTAATGATGATTCTATCCACATTGTAACAGACATTGCTTAACAACCTCATTTTTAAAAGGATGTTGGGATTGATGTATAAACATTTGTGGCCAAAATATTGATTATGGAAACAGGAATTCTTCAGAACATCTGTACAGTACTATTCTCCACTTATCCCACATCCACTTTGACTGATCGTGTCTTGCAACCTCCCCCATAAAGTTTCAAAGTTATTGGCTGTTATTTTCTGTTGACAGTTGGGGAGCAGGGAACCTCTTTTTGAAAACTTTGTACATCATACACAAGTTATTTTTGCTTGTGCTGTTATTTCTGGAGATGAGATCTGACCTCCCTGCAACACTAACATTTAGTAGTGTATTTTGAGGCCTTCCTCAATAGTACCAAACATCTCTTCCCCTTTACAGACATTCCAATTTATCCAGACACTTCAGATCTTTGTAAGGGGAGGCAACATTTGAGTTTTATTGGTGATCTTTCATGCTGATTTTCTGATTTTTCATTATTTCCTAACTATTGTTATCTTATTAAAATTACAAGCAATATAAAATTGCAAGCAAAACATAGCTGTATAACTAGGTATCCATATAAGAAATAAATCCTCCAGGTGAGCTGCTCTCTGCTACTGTACCAATCTTCTAGCCTGCCATATTATGAGCTACCTTTTGTTGAAGTTGACAGGAGAGAGAGAAAGGAATACTGTTACAGTAAACAAAAAGTGCTTTATGGCCTAGTCCAGTCTACTAACATGGAAACACCTGCTTGTGAATGGAATAGAATGGTGGGCTTGAGTGCTTATTTGGAAAGCTAGTTTGTCTTCATTTTAAACTTTGCTTGGTCCTTAAATACACTGATATAAAAACATTTCTAAATTTAATCGTTTCTTAAAACAAAAGCAAAAACCTGTCTTTAAAATCTTGCTACAAACCTCCTGAATTGATTTAAATCTTCCTGGACGATGTCTGAGCCCAGTTCTTTCATTCATAGAAAGTGTATCAATCTGTTTTCTGATGTACATTTTGAAATTTTCTTGAGATAGCCTTCATCTAAACTGATGCAGCTGGTGAAAATATGGGAGAAAAGATTATACCCCAAAATGAAACCAGCATGCACAAATGCATACTGTTTGTACATATTTTTTTTAAAAAGTTAGTGATTTCTCAGAAATGTGGTTCCTTTAGTGAACATAAATCTATTTTCATGCTCTGTACCCCACACAACTACAGAAATGGTAGAGAATTACCTCTAGCACATGAAAATATCTGGTAAGTCAGAATTTATGAATAGTTGTTAAGGGCAGAGAACTAGGAACTCCTTAAAACCTATCTCTAATGCTTCCTTTTTCACTGAACAAAGAAAAAACAGCATGTGAACATAAAATTAAATCTGTATTCCACCTCAAATTTAAAAGATAACACAAATAATTCTGTGAACTTAGGGATTCCACAACTCATTTTCATTAAGTATCTCTTAAATATTGTATTTTTTGAAGCCTGAACTAAATGGTATGTAGTCATCCCAAATGACAAGAATCTACTTAAGCTTAAAAGGGACCAGATCTAGCTAACAGCTGAAATAACAAGAACCCTGAACAAGCACAAAAGATATAAATCCCTACAATTATGTTTTTAAATAAATAATGATCCTTATAATTTAATCAATCCTCAAATTCATAACATGAATTACATCAAAATAGTAATGTGTGTGTGCATGTGGGTAAACTCCCTACTATTTTGATATTGTTCATGCCATTCCCATACTTTCATTGGGTGTTTTGAAACCCTCTGTCAGCCCCATAGCCAAATAGCCCAAGAATACAGATTTGCCCATTTCCAGATCTATCCAGATGAATAGAAATCAATATCAGATTTCTTTACAATTGGAGTTCCCCCTTCCCTCAAGGACCTCTAATTTTTCCAAGTACAGATGACCTATTGCTTAAAATTTCCAAGGTTCTATATTTGTATTTTGCTTCAGTTACTTAAGTAATATTGAGATTCATAATAATAAAACACAAATATCTTTTGCAACTGCAAAGAAGAGCATAGTTGTAAAGAGTGGCAGCTTCCACAGCAAACCACAATGACATGAAAATGATAACCTGCAGGAAGGGCAAACACTGCCCTTCCATACTTGTGTTCTGATGTCTGATGTAAGTACGTAAGCGGTGGCATTTGTTTAATGTTGTCACCCACAATTTGTTAATTGCCCAGGGATGTCCAAGAACTCAAGGACCATGCTTGTTACCGAAATACTGTAA